AAAGAAAAGGTAGCTAAAATTTTGAAAATAGGTGGCAACATATTAGTGGATGCGTTTTAATCAAGATTGAGCAAATTGGATGATACGTAGATATAAATAAGATTATTTTATAATATTTAAGAGAAATTATATTTAGTGATATGATATAGATTGGTGGCACCGTTGATATCAACTTCTCCAAGGACTTTCCGTGACTTGAGTCAGCCAAGAAACGTAAGATTATTTTCTTCTTTTATCACCTTTTTCGCTGTTTTAAGTTTATAGTTTTCCTACATTTCTCGTGAATATTCTAAGAAATCAATAAACGGGTAGATAGATGTAATAGATCGCAACCCCCAAATGTTTTTTATTTTATTTTCTAGTAAATTAGTTCATCGTAAACTGCCTTTGAATAATTGAATTAATAGATTTTTCTATGGATAGGTCAAGCAACTCGTTTAGAAAAGTTTAAGTTTGTGTCATTGTGTGGTTCACTTCAACAACTTCGCTATAAGTGACAAAAAAAAAAAAAAAAAAGCTTAAGAAATAAAACTAGAGCAAGACTAAAAGTCAAAGCACAAGGAGTGACTCAATAGCCGACCACTTTGTGAATAAGCTTCAATGTTTTTTTTTTGGTTAACTAGGAGGGGGTTTGAGCTAGACCTTAAGCAACTCGTTTAGAAAAGTTTGAGTTTGTGTCATTGTGTGGTTCACTTCAACAGCTTAGCTATAAGTGACAAAAAAAAAAAAATGTTTGAGTTAACTAGGAGGAGGTTTGAGTTAGACCTTAATCCCCTCCATGGTCTAGGACCAGTATTTGCTAATATCTTATAACATGGCGTAAAGCAGGGCCGGCTCAAATTTTTAAGGTTCCAACCTAATTTATAAAAAAAAAGCTTAAGAAACTAAACTAGAGCAAGGCTAAAAGTCAAAGCACAAAGAGTGACTCGATAGCCGACCACTTTGTGAATAAGCTTCAATGTTTTTTTCTAACACATAGATCTAACCCCTGCACTTAAACCACTAGCCCAACGTACCGTTGAATAAGCTTCAATGTTAATCCATTGAATACACCAGTTTTACGTCAAATTCTTTATTCACTTGGTAAAGCCTAGCTTAATAACGTGGTTTCACTTGAAAATTCTACCATTTTTATACTAGATGAAGATGATCGCCAAGTTTCTATAATATTTAGTTATTTATTTGCTTTTGAAGCAGTACCCATACTCAATGTCTCAATCTATGCATAAATATATATCGGTACGTAATACATGTGGCCAAAGTGTACAATATGAAAACGAATGGTATGTTATATAGCTTATTTGGTCACCATATGAAAGTGATATACAAACGATTACAAAAATGGCACGTTAACCAGTTAAAATTGATTAGGTCACACTAAAAAAACAAAAGAGTCAGTTTGGAGTCTTTGTGTCATAATTATATGATCTTTTATCTGATGATGGAGTTAGGTCGAAATCTTTAGCCGCTTCTGGATAGTACTTACTGGCCTAGGCCCAAGGACCAGACTTTAAATGTGTAATTTAACACACAATCAAACGTAAATATTTTGTTTGGTTCAGTTTTTGGAATAGGCCATATTTACTTAAGTCATAATTTATTGTTTCCTTAAGTAGTTACATCTTGGAAAAAATGAAAAAAGTGGAATTAGCAATGGCAATAATAGGAAACAAAGAAAAGTTCCCAATTCCTTTCGCCTGAATTAACTGATGGCCACATATGTACAAGGAAAGGAAGATGCAGAATTAACAGATAAAAAGAAAGTGGAGGTGCGGGGAATCGAACCCCGTGCCTCTCGCATGCGAAGCGAGCGCTCTACCATATGAACTACACCCCCAATTTGACAATTATCATGTTACAAATTTAATAGACCACAGAATTTAAGTGAAGCGTTACTTAGAGAAGTTCGACAGCAAAGTTAGATGATAGGCTTTCTTCTTGACGACACTTAGGGGCAGCAAACATGTAATTGACAGAAATGTAAATGCGACTAGCTATAATGAGAACCCAAGACTGAAAGCTTTTTGTTTCATTCTTCGAAGCATTTTCAAGATAATAAAGTCATAGGTTCACAAAAGAATTGCATTGCTTAGTGCTTTCTAAACCCAAAATCTAAATTGGAAAAATCCATAAAAGCTTTGTTGTTTCTCAGTGGAAAAATCTTCTGGCTCTAGCCCATGGTGGCAACCTTGGAACTTGTACTGTAACACCATAGTTGTTAATCGTCATTCTCTGCTCTTTCATGCTTGCAAAGCGAGAGTCCAATGTCTTCCTCTTCCATCCTCTATGTTCTACTTTCTCATCTACTTCTTGCCTCTGAGGATAAAGAAAGGTCAATTGTTATTAGCCCTCTGATCATTCAGTATAAAGCTCTTTGCTATATGATTCAATAATAATAATGCTCATTATTATTAACACACCATCCATTTACCAGAACAAGCCCTACACGTTCCATGGTCTGGAATTTACAAACACAAAAGGCAATAATCAATCTATAAAAATTTTAGATACTCCTTACCATCAATATGCAGACACAGCTATGGATGCAGAAGTAAGCTAAAATGCACATCTTATGGTCCCCCATAAACATATCAAAAACGAATAATAGTCCGAGGGAGAGACACTAATGCAATCTAACAGATAATCATGAGTAAGTTACCTTTGCGTTGACTCTAGGCTGTACAGATATATTTTGAACTGGTGGAGCAATACGCCTGCACAAGAAAAAAAAACAAAGAGGGAGTGCTGAGGAACCGAGAAGACATACAGAGACAACCTTTAAGAACATCAGAAACTTGAAGTACAGACGGTAACTGGCATCAACAGATGAAATGATCTATTATCGAGTTGTTTACAACAAAAGCTGAATCTCTTCATACGTAGAAGGATCAAAGCGAAATCCAACTATCCAAGTTACATAAGGATGGCAGATAGCCATTTTATTATAAGCATGCAACACATCACTTCCCAAACTCGCAGTAACTACAGAAAAAGTGCAGCTCTTGACAGATTTCCAGGCCAACCCACCAAAGATGGCCTTTGTCCCGACAAAGCAACTTATCAAAGACTAAGAGAAGAGATCTTGAGAGATGACCCAAGGTGTTACCAAATAACAATTAATGTATATTGATGAAGATCCTGAAGTCTGACTCTTTTCCCAGTAACAGGTATCTACCAAGACAGTGTCACAACCTCAGAGAGCTAAGCTATAATTTTCAGGATGCAAGAAGATGAAACATAACACCTAGGAGGCTGATATGAATGAAAATGAGTTTCATGAATCCACTGAGGTTATATCAAAGGCCAAGTACTGTATCAGACTGCTTGACTTGTTAATCTGACAATAAAAACACCAACTTCAAGCAAAAGCAAAGTTTGTGTTCAAACTAGCCACATTCTAACCACCCAAGTTCATATCAAAGGCCAACCCAGTCTTGAGAAAAACACCCTAGCCACTCATCAGCAAAGTTTATGCTCAACCTTAACGTTCTGAAATGTTTTCCACTAACTCACATCTCCAATCCAAAAATATGAACTGACTCCTTCAAGCACCATCATAAATTCAGCTACATAAATCTGTATAACTATGCAGTCATCAAACTGATTGACCATCTAGTGACCAGGAGCTTAGAATAGAAGCTTCTTGAATCAGAAACAATCGAAGATATTATAAGGACTTCAGATTAACAAACAGGTCAGAGGAGCTATCCAGCATTCTAGACCTTGACTGATAAGCACTAGTCATCCTTCCACCATTAAAAGCTCTACCGCGGGCATCAAGTGGAGCAGCAGTAGCAGCTTTACGAGCAATGTTTGTTGTTACAGGAAATTGATTTCCTTGGAACCTAGACCTTCTCTTACCAACAGAACCCTGAAAATTAAGAGAAAAGTTACAAAACAAATCCAAACAAAAGAAAAAAGGGATCCTAATGATAGACAAAGAAGCCAAGACAACAGATCCTAATGAGAACACTGCAAAGCTAACCTGTCTAACAGCAGAAATATGATGCCGCACATTAGAGGTATTATTTCTCGCAGCACCGTTAAAGTTTTGGTTTTTGTTCTGCACAGAAAAAGACTAAATTATATGCCAACAACCAGTTCAATGACATTAACGTCTCCCAAGACAAGAGGCATGTATAAAGAAGGGTTTTTACCTTTCCTCTCCTTGGTTTCTTGCCCTTATTCACATTGGTCTTTCTCTTTGCCAACTTGATAATATCATCTAAAAACAAGAAAATATAAATAAAATCATGAGCAACCACACAGCCGGATACATAGAAGCTAAGGGGAGGCATATCATAAACATAAAAAAAAAAAAAAAAACCTAAAGCCATGGCGACTTTCTTTTCGGTGAGGGCAATGGTCTCCGCTATAAGTGGTGTTTCAGTCTCCATCTGCACAAACAAAGCAAATTCTTTAACCGAAAAATAACACAAAATTTTATACGATATGTAAGAAATTGTACACTGTTCTTTGAAAAAATTGCACAACTCAGTAAGAAATAAGTCAAGAAAAATCAAGATATAGGAAGAATCGAATCCAAAGAAGATAAAAACCTTAATCTACACATGAAATGAAAACAACTCCGTACTAAATTACAATTAGCATATGTTCCCCGAATCCCTAAGAAGCAACAAACCCTAATTTCGACTATTCAATTGAGTAAGTCTACGAATCAAAACCTTAGATATCAGGACTCGTGAGGAAAAACCTTACCGATTATGAAGTAAGAACCTTGCAAGAGAAAGCGACGAGAGAGAGACGAAGAAGATGATCGGAGCGAGAGAGGTCCAAGCTAAAGAATCTTTCTGAACAAGACGATGACTGAGTCAACTCGTCACAGCATAAACCAGATTTTCTTATACGACTTTATATCTAATGGAGTCGGCGGATTCCAACGAGAAATAAAACAACCGGCTCGGATTTCAAGTCCACATTATGCGTAAACCGGTTACACACGTGGCCTAATATCATAGGGTCTATTTTAACAAATCCAGTAAATTTATTAAAAAAACAATTCTTTTCCCGGTAAATTAGTGAGTTAATTTGATTCCGCGAGCCTTTTTTACCCGGTGATCACGTTTTTATTGTTTCGGTAAGAAAAAACAGTAATTATTTATGTCTGATCTAACGGCTGAAAATAAGGGAGAAAGATGGATTAGTTCAGTTCTGGCCGTAGATCCACTTCTCAGCATTGCCAGTGAAAGAAACGAGTTCTTCAGGCTTAAACCACAAGCTGATCTCGTCTTTAGCTGTCTCTGGTCCATCGCTTCCATGTATAATGTTCCTGCATTTCCCAATAAACACAAACAAAACCTATAATCTATGAGAAAACAGACTAAAACATACTAGTATATATATACAATGGAGAAAAATAGAATGGTACCTCCCAACAACAACAGAGAGATTTCTGAGGATCTGTAGCTCCAATCAGTTTACGTCCGTATCTAATCACTCCTTCACCTTCCCATACCTAAAACCAAGTTTCAATGGACCATGAGAGCTAAACCAAGTCGGGTTTATGGTCTCAAAAGTTTGAGTGAGACTTGTTTCGTTACCATGGCAACAACAGGGACTGAAATAAGGAAGCCGTTGAAGAAAGGTCTCTCCTTTAGATCATGGTAATGCTTCTGCGCGAAACCCTTTGAAGGAACCATGACTTTGATACCAACAAGCTTGTATCCTTTGCGTTCGAACCGTAAAATGATTTCTGATATCTGGTGAGAGTTTAAAGATTTAAGAGTTTTGAGCATTTGAATAAGATGTAAGACATGAAATTAAAAAAGAATAATAACAAGTAACAAACCAGTCCTCGCTGCACCCCATCGGGTTTGATAGCGATGAAAGTGCGTTCCATCTGATTGAAACAGAGAAATCCAGTGAGAAAGAGAAAGCAGGGATAGCCTCAAGAGAAGGATATATCGATATGTGTTTGGTTTAGCGACTATTACCTCAGCAGCAAGTACACTGTTGCTGCACACATGGCTCGGCCTTCTGAAATCATAAATAATCAATGTATACGCAAAATGTTAATGAATTATGTTGTGACATTTGTTCATATGGGAATGAGAAAAAACAACAGATCTAAAACACCCTCTTTATATTAATGGGATAATCAATAAGAAATCTTATGTATGCAAATTAATCATGAGTCAAAAACCGGAATATGAGAGTCTAAATTTGTTTATCCAATAGTTTCATAGAAAATGTATTTGCTATAAGGAGATGTAAATATTAAGGATCTAATTGTAATTAGTATTAGTCTAAACCCTAGTCTAAGTACTATATATGTTGTAAATCATTTTCCCTAATGAATGAATTCACTCTCATCTTACATTTGCAACCCCTCACAAAATATCTCTAACAGAACAAGCCAAATAAGTGCCATATTCAGAAAACAAACAATTTCGTTTCTTGAGTTGATGGGAAGGATCAAGTAAAAGTTTGGATCAAATATTTTAGATTGAAAACGATTCAACAGATCACTGATTCGATTCGATCGAGAAGACGAAGAAAACCAAAGTTAGGATCAAAAAATATTTGACGTCTATCTACATACATCTTCCCATGAAGTTTATCACATTTTCAGGAAAAAAGAAAAGCAGAGAAAAAATTTACGTACCGGAGAAGAAACGAGCATTCTTGGCTGAAGAAAGAAGAGACCGCGCTGCTCTGGAAGCAGATCTGCAGATTTGAGAGCTCATTTTCTCTTATAAGATGCGTGAGGACTGAGAAGAGTGATGTGCAAAAACAGGGACGTCAGAAATGTGAACCTGTTGGAGGATTTTATACCAGCATGTTTTGATCGGGTCGGTGTCGTTTCGGGTCGGATCAGAGAAGGACTTAAAAGGCTCAGGATTTATTGCCTTTCTAATCACTTTCTTTTTCCAATATTGCCTATTCAAGTAACGAATATATTCCAATGTCTTTAGCAGCTAAAAGAAGTAAATCAAAAAAATTGTAATCACCAGTTCAGTAAAAGAACCTTTCATTGACGTGAATTCTACTACATCTAAAAGAAGCATATTATATACACAGAAAATGAAAACTATACAGAGCAATGACCAATCTTCAATTTATTGTGGAGCTTCGCTTGATCCGTTTGATAACCTTTCTTCTGGTTCAGACTTGCAATCAAGGCGCAATACCGACAACCAAGAATCAACCTAAAATCATAAGAAACCGCGAAATCATCGCGTTCAAATGCTGTGGGATGTCTCAACAACAAATGTGTGTGCTACAATGTATATGTATTTGGTTCACCTGTGTTTTAGAGGTGCTTGAGCACTCAAATCTTAGACCTTGACGGGTTAAGATGTAAAAGCAATAATGGGTTTCATCGAATTCTCTTGTGTAGCTAGGTAACGAACCAACTTCTACAATATCCGCCAGCAATGTCGAATCTTGAGGGCTCAAATCTGCAACAGAGAGTTTCAAGAGATATTACAAGAAGAATAGAAATTTAAAACAGGATTGTAAAAGTTGGAACTTAACTCACCTGTTGACAATAAATAGAAGAAAAGACAAGGGCCTTGAAGGACGACAAACCGAGGAAGCCAGTCGTCTACTTCTGTATCATCTATTGGTGGTGGTTCCCCCGGAAGAGCTGCCCAACGCTGAAGTTAAAGAAAAATAAAAAGGCCAATTTGTAATATAAGATAGACTAACTTTGAGCCTTGTGGATCAATAATGATAAGTTAATTCAGAGTAAGACCCTACACTTCGGATAAACAAATAACCAGATAAACGGGCAGAGCGCAAGACTTCGTCTACATGTTCCAACCTATGTAACAGTACAGAAAGAAGAAATTGAGATCGCCGCTTTTGTTCTGAGAATGGAACAATTCGAGCATATGACTTACTGAGCTTTGAGGTAAGCTTCTCTTTCTTCCAAATCAGAAAGTTCTGATCTAAGTGATTCTAACTCCGCTGCTGATAGCTCTACCTGCCAATGAGAGAGTAATCAGGAAAGAACCCTCAAACTTCGATGAGGGGAATCAAAAACAAATAAGAAAGGAATTAGAATGGAACCTTCTCTTGACCATCTGAAACCCAAGGAAGACGGCGAAGAGTGAACAAATTCAACATAGTTGCTGCTCTTTTCAAGTTTCTACGAGTCCGTGACTGGCTCCGAGACCTATTCTAAATAAAAGCACCCAAAGATACAATCAATGTCAGCTAAAGGATTCCCTATCTAGCATAATTATTCGCAAACAAGTTTGTTACCTCAGAGAAATATCGTCCTTTGTCTGCGAAAATGATGGAGTATCGTCCTGAGAAGATTCTGCTGTGGAACTAGGAGCACTAAAGTGATCAGGTAATATGTTTAGCTTCTTAGGAGTACCATCATCCATGAATTGAAACTTAAGACTTTTGAAACGACTCCAGAAACTTTTCCACCAGAAAATGAATCAAGCGTAGCCAGAGAACCTTCATTCAAATGAAACTACTGGTTACTATCTCAGCTTGCGCCCCAAAAGAAGTCGAATAATTCCACAGTGTTGGTCCACATAGATAAAAACTTTTTGTCCACATTACTTAATTTAAGAAATGTTATCTGAGCATGATCTAATCTAGATTATGATATGAATTATGAAACAAACTCCTATATGAATGTTAGCATCCCATGAGCAATTAATCTTGCTAAATGACCTGTCTCAGTCTCTATCTTATGCTTTTTCGTATCATAGATCTAATCCACGAGTATCATCACTTAGAGAGATATACTATATACTAATTAAAACTCCTTATTCTTCACTGAGGATCAAACATACCCTTTTTTATATCTTTCAACGCCGAATTTTACAACCCCACTTCACCGGAAATTTTGATGAGAAATCAGCTCGCTGCAAAAGGAAAACAAAGTTCAGTTTCTTATAAAAGAAGAAGAGGACGACAACGAACTCTTCTTTCCTCCCATTCTGGATTTTATTAGCTCAAATAGAAAAGGAACAACAGAAACGAATTTTCTGGAAATCCAACAAAAAAAATGGAAACCCTAACAAAATACAAAAACATTGAGCAGAAATAGAAGCTCGGAAGTCGGAATCGAATGAAGAGAACCTCCGATAATTTGGAAAAATGACAAAACAGAAGATCGAGAACTGATCGAATGTGATCTCTGTATTTAAGGGAAAGTGTTTTGACGCAATTGTTTTTTTTTTTTTTTTTGGTTGGGTGCTTACTGCTTCAGCAAGAAGAAGTTTGGTTTGGGAATTTTACTCATAAAGAAACTTTAAATTTGGTTAGATAAAGACGCTTTTACCCCCAGGTTGCGTTAGCCAGCTCTACACACGTGGGATGGGAGATTCTACAATGTTAACTTGTAGTCTCTCCGTTTCATAAAAAGTATCGTTTTAAGGTTTTATTTTTGTTTCATAAAAAGTGTCGTTTTAGGTTTTCAATGCAAAATTTAATGATTTTTTATGTTTTATGACTATTAGTATTCTGCAAATTGTTTTACTATTGGGCAGATTATGTTTAGGTATATAGTTAATAATATTTTTGTTTAGAAAAAACAAAAAATTTAATGTTTTCTTAATTTGTGTGCAAAACTCTAAAATGACACTCTTTGTGAAACAGAGAGAGTAATTGTTAACGAAATCGTATGACATAAAGTGATAAACTTGGTTTGTTATTAGGTCAAATAATTTGTAAACTTTTGACCAAACTTATCTAGAATATATTGAATTTATCAAATTAATACAAAATGTTTTCATCCATGCTTAATAGTACTACATTTATTTATAGAAATTGCCATCTAAGGATTTGGTGATGCCGATGAGTGTAAAGGACAGCCTAAGACAAAAGTGTATGTGTAATGATGATTTTGGGAGTATGGGATTCCAATTATTAATGTCGTTGACCAATATGCTTTATCTTATTCTTGCTGCTTTTTCTTACTAACGAAACCACATTATTAGCATTATGTTTAAATTTTAATCATAAAAGAAATCACATTTGTAATATATTTAGGTGGGTGTATTCAATAAAGGATTTGAGATGATTTGTATTAAAAAGATAAATCCTATGTTATTCAAACATGAATTTTAAAAATCTTTTAAAAATCAAGTGTTATTGGATTAGTGATTTTAAAATCTACAATCAAATCAACTGTTATTGGAAACATTTTAAGTTGTGGATTTGAAATGACTTGAGTGATTTTTGGTGGAATTTCAGAGAACATCTTAGTTAAAAATTCAAATATCTAAATCCCATGGTTTTAGGTGGGATTTGGGAAAGTTTTGATATCAAATTCCCTAATTTACCAAAATTAACCAAAATCATCTCAAAACTCATTAAAACTCAAATCACTCCAAATTCTTTCTTCAATACACCCCCCTTAATCTAGGCTATGAAGAATATTCAAACTTGGTCCAGTTTAAACTTATGACAAAGCCCAGATGTTCCTACTCTTCCTCCTAAATCATTATTCGAAACAAACCATCCGGTTATACATAAACCGGTTCAGGTCCACTGGAAATAGATAGATAAAACTCATCTAACTGAAATCATGATATGTGGTCATTATAACAAGCGAATCACACGTTTCTTCATATCTCCTCCCCTTAGTCACACCTCTAAACTATTCTGCAGACAGAGAAAAAGTTATGGCAACTTCTTCGATCACTATCCCGACCATGAGAACTCCGATTCATCGATCGAAATTTCTAGGCCAAACCCATCAATTCTCAACTGCAAACCAGTCGATTTTCCCGCCTCCGAAACAGCAATCAAAAGTTTATCAAGTAAAGGCCATGGGTAAATTCAATCTATGGGAAGTGATGGGAGGGAGAGGATTATGCAACGGAGAGAAAGGTATTGAGAAGGAGCTCAAGAGGAACATTGAAGACGGGCAAGAGACATCAAAGGCTGAGAACAACGAGACAGAGAAAGAGAGCGATGACAGTAACTTGTCGTTTAAAGTACCTGAAGATGGTTTTGACAAAGAGATGATGGGTCTCACAGGAGGATTTCCCGGTGGCGAAAAGGGATTGCAAACGTTCATTGAAAAGAACCCACCACCTCCTCCGACGCCACCACCTGCAAAACGAGGAACCGATGCATCCGCGGTTGTTACAGATAAGAAGCCGAAAGCGCCCGAGCTACCCCTTCTCATGCCGGGAATGATCGCTATAGTCAAGAACCAGAACAGCCCGTATCACATGTATTGTGGGATTGTGCAGAGGATCACTGATGGAAAAGCTGGTGTCTTGTTCGAAGGAGGAAACTGGGACCGTCTCATTACTTTCAGGCTTGAAGAGCTCGAGCGAAGAGAGAAAGGTCCACCGGGTAAGAATCCAAAGTCTTGTATTCTTGAGCCTCTTATCGAACAGATGCAAAAGGAGGAGGCAGCACCATAAGCGATCTTCTCTTCTCTGTGTGTAAGTTCCTGTGAATGTATATGTAACGTACCTTTGCGTTTAGGCTACGAGATTTCTGACTGGTTCTAAAAGAGCTTCATCATGTGATATAAAAATAAAAGAACGATGAATTTCAACCATAAAGCACTTAATAGAGATTCAAATGCACTCAATCAATGATGAATCAGTATAGAAGTTAAAAACTTTTAAGACTGCAACGGAGTTGTTTTATTGTATCATTGGTTGTCGTAAACATCAACCATATCAGTTTCTTGACTATTGGGTATATTCTGTAAATGGTAAAGATAAGAAAAGGTCCACCATTTCTTGTCAACAGATCATGTTGAATGATCAGAGGCAGCCTCCCAACTGTGAAAATTTGCAGAACAAGTTAGAAACAGAACAATATTATCACATCATGAAAAAAGAAACACAGATTTCGTTCTTTTGGTCGATAAAATTAGTAGTTGGTCACACGATTATAAAGTTAAGATAATTGCAACTACATGTTTGTCTTCGCAGCTAAACTCAGAATAAGTATATTTGAAATGTTAAAATGAAACTTAAACCGTGAAAAGGCAATTCTTTATCTAAGTGTTATTCATGTCTATGAAGTTACATACCAAAATGGCTTCCATTTCTTCGTTAGAAACTGGCGTACGCTTTGGCTGCGATGACGCCTTCCCGCCTATAGTCTTTTGGATGTTCAAATTGGAGAAGAACAATGTATCAGCTTCATTTGCCACCTGAGTCTTTCCCTCTGAGACTGCAAAGTTAAAAAAAAAAAAAAAAAAAAAAACTCTTATGCCAGCAAGTAAATCGCAAAATTGATGAAGATTCCTACAATGATTCGAGATTTGATTTCAAATTGATAACAGACACGACTCGTAACAATGGCTAAACAAATCTGTATATCTTTGAATCTAACTATGTAAATGCAAATCAATGATTCATTTGTGTATTTTCTCAGAGCAAGATAGATCGGCAAACAAAAACCACAGCCAAATGGATACAATCTCATGTCTAATTCGTGACAATGAAACCGTACTCAAAAATTTCGAATCGAGCACCGAGCAAAACTATGGAACTTGACACCAAAAACAATATAGATTCTGCATACAAGTGTTTCACGATAATCAAAACCTGAAGGATTGACATGACGCTGTGGAAATTTGATGCGAGGAATCCTCTTCAAACCGTGAACAACGTTCATCTTCTCTTTCGCTCTTTCGTTCTCGTCCGTGTACCAAAAAGGAGAATGTTGACGACGGCGACTGGAAATTTTCTCTGCTTTTTCCCGAACCTTCGGGTTTATTAGTTTCATGATTGGGCCATTTTCGGTGGTTAGGCCCATCTAGGCGCATATGACCCGTTTCTGTTGGGACAACAAAATTTCCTCCCAAACCATAAATAAATCAAAATTGGAAATTTCTTTTTGTTTTTGACTCAGTCCTGTTTTTTGTTTGAGTGCCATTAATTATGTAAAATGTAAATCTCGGATTGAGACAGAATGTTTGATGGAAAAGTGTAGAGACTAAGACCATATTTATCGGGCAACCTTGTTGGGCTGTTCTTAGATTTTAAAAATAATAAAATTGAGGAACATATACTCAAGAGCATGGGTAGATGTTCTCCCTGAAGAACTGTTGTAGCATCAGTTGAAGTACTGTTCTTAGATATTATAAGCTTTAATATTATTTTAATAACTAAGAACTATCTTCTTGTTTTACCGTTGCATATGCCCTAAGGACTTAGTCAAGCGCATAAATCTTTTTGGGTGGTTTGGTCGTAAATAATCCACCAAGATTTGATAAAAGCTTTCAACGCGTTATCTCTAACCACTTCTTTGTTTCTCTCTATTGTCTACACTCTACACTAAATAATCCACCCTAATATATACGGTTCTATAAATAAAAAGCTAATAAATTTGATATAATATACTATTTTCTCAACAAGATATGTTTATTTTTGGTGTCATATATGTTTTCTAGTCTGCTTTCTTTTGGAAATCATTCATTTGCATTTCTTCATATCCCTTACATGTTGAAAAGAATTCATCATCTTATTACTCAGCATTGAGTCATAGCTAAAGAGAAGAACAAGCAATAAATGTATCGTCTGAAAGAACTTTGTCAGTGGTGCGGGTAATGCAGCCTAGAGTTGGGAACTGGAAAATATGGTGGGGATTGTGGTGGAGCTGACTGGAACATACCAGCACCAGTGTATGGTGGTGGTTGTCTTGCCCCAAAATAATTAGGAGGAGGGTATGGTATGGGTGTTTTAAAGCCAGGCACTGCTTGTGGAGGAGGGTACACCATTGGAGGTGACATTGCAGCGTTAATGAAGGGCGTGGCATTCCCGTTTTCTGTCCCTATTCCTCGATAGTTCCAGTTTGGCATCGCCATAGGCTCAACCTTTGTGTTCTTGCTTCTTTTCCCAAAACACATTAGAAGACAACATTTTGTTGGCTTCTCCTCCTTCTTCTCCATTGTCTTGTTTTGGTTTTGTTCTGGGGTTCTAGGAACAAAGGAAGAGTTGTCTCCAAGAAAAGAGACAAGTTCTGCCTTTTTACCCCATTTGGTAAGCTTATGAAGCAATGTTGTTGGGTTAACATCACCTGAGACTGTTAAGAGCCCTTGTTCTGCGTTATACTCAACTGCATCCACCCCTGTTTCCATTTGAAAACAATATTAGCTAAACGAAATAAACATATTCAACAAATGATATAGCTTAAACAACATTCACTGTGGACTTATTATTACCAGAGACATTTAGCAACTTTCTCTTTGCTTTGGTCTGGCAACCTTTGCAACACTTGATTCCAACTCTCAGAACGCAAGTCTACACCACACATAAAAACTCGTTAGCAAACTCTTAAAGGAGATGCAAAAACCTCGGGAGAGTGAAGGGAGAAAGAAAATACTCGAACTGGTGGAGATAGGTTTGACATTGCATAAAAGCACCTCAACTTGAAACTCTAATGTAAAAGAAGACAATGGGTATATACATATATATATATGAGAACGATTATTTACTTTCCAAAATGAGTCCATAGACGTTTTGATATATTGCTGGAATTGGTGTATATTAGCCTGGATTTATATGGTTTCCATATTTTTTTGATATTGTACCCGACTAAAACAAAACCAAAATCTAAATGTGAGTTATTTGTTATTTTATTATCATAAATGACGATTTTTTTAAAAAAACAAGTATGGATACATTTCCACAAATTTGGTATCTTCATAATCAAATGTAACGTCATTTGTTGAATATCCACGAACGAAATCCTCTCTCCCCCTATTAGAAACCGTTGCTTTCTACATATTGAGAAAACAATAATAGAGGATTTGGAATTTCTAGTAAGGGAAAATACATACTTGTTTTGGGTGTGTATGAGTGTCTTAATCCAATTTATCTTCCGATTTCGTGTAATGACCAAGATCGTGTTTGTTTATGCAGATTTGTATACTAAAAATGAAACTATAGTGTGGTGAGGGCTTTCCGATCCTTCTCATGTCAAGAAGTTTGAAGTTTCTACAAAAAGTACAAGATAGTACGTTCAATTTTCCTCGTTTAAAACTCGACTTGACCTAATTGAACATTGTCAAACACTTGTTTTCGTATTTTTTTTTTTTTTTTTATCTTGGCATTGTGGATATTATTCAATTATTTAGTTAGACTAGTTCAAAATGGAGTAATTGACCATGTCATATGCCGCCAGTGGCACGGCACCAATTTTTTCAGTGGAAAGTTGTTTTTTTTTTTTTAATATATGAGAGAAAACTTTAAGGTCATGGTAAAGCTTATTGACTGATTAATGATGCATGATATCATCACTTTTCCTTGGTTTACCTAATTTGATATTTTGTCAACATTTTGATATTTTGATAAATAATGTGTTTTTTTTTTGTCATTATTTACAAAATGTATAATGTAATAAAAATCTATTTGATAAAAGGATGTATAATTTTAATCATATTGTTTTACAAAATGTCTAATATAATTAAATGATATGTTAAAAATTGAATATAAACTTTCTATTAAAATATTAATTTTATGTGGATGAGATACTCATAAAATATCTCACTAATAGAGGTAACATTGTAGTATGAGTTTCCCAAAAAAATAATAATAATAGTATTATATAGTTGAGATACCATGTGAGTATCTCACCAATAAAAATGCTCTTATATGATCGCTAGCAAAAACTGATCATCTCTAATCTTTACCTTAAAATCTCTTACGTACAAGTTAACCAGTTATCTTCAATTATATAGAACCTTCCCGTAAATCAACATCGACTGTGATTCTGTGAACTATAATGAACTTGTCAATTGTTTTTTTTTTTTTTTTTTTTTCCCGAACTTGTCAATTGTTTTGTATTTGATTATGAATGATACAAATACATAAAAGATGGTTCTTAAACTTTTTGCATAGTAAAGGAAAGCAAACTTGAATAATTAAATTCTAGTATCCCAGGGCAAAGTGACGTCATCTTCTTACCCCAAAGAACACTCCACTACGTGTCCGAATAATGGCAAAGTTGGTCGCCTATATAATACTCTGCCCCACGAAAAATTAATATATAGAGATAAACTTTCAAGATAACACAAAACCTCTCTCTCCCTAATTTGTTAAAGAAGAAGAAGAAGATGATGATGGATTCTCTAGCTAAATGCTTCAACAGGCTTCAAGAAAGGTACGACAACGTTCTAGAAGCAAAACCTATCTACAGAGACGACTTAGACATAACGTTGCCTCTGAACGAATCAGAGGTTTCAGTAGAATCGACCAAAAGGTCTCGGTGCTTGCAGAGAGCCAAGAGGATTGACAAATCGCTGAGGTTCGAAGCGGAAGAGGAAGACGATGAACAGAAGCAAAAGCCTCTGGCTAAGCCACGTAAGGTTGTGAGGTTTCAGTTAGAGAATAATAAGATCTTCGAGCCAAAGAAGAGGGTGAGTTTTAATGATGATCACGAACTCAAACCAAAGGAGAAGCCTCTGGAAGAGAAAGAGAGTTTGAATATAGTTGAAAAGAAGGAAGAGGTTGTGAGGGTTAAGATCAAGATGACAAAGCAAGAAGCTCAAAGGCTGTTATCGAAAAGCAAAAACGACAGCGTTTTTGATTTGGAGCATTTTGTGGACCAGATCGCACATGTCCCTGTTCATCAGCTTCAAGTCGCTATGGTGATGGTTGGTTGTAATAATGAGCGGCAAGGAAATGGCTGCTGGTTATCCCAGCTGGAATAAGTTAATTTTGAGTTTATCTATCGAACTTTTTTGTAGTTTTAGGGTAGTATCTATATAAATATATATGTGTGTGTATATATTTTGTAACAGATTAATTGAAGTAACATGAATTTGGGGAAAATTTGTTGTTTTTGATCTCATAAATAATAATGTATCAAATTTTCTACGTTAGTATATTCCAAGGTAAAAAATTTGAGAAAGGGAAAGTAAGAAACAAAGCAAAGAACGCTGAACAAACGATGGATATATATCCCAAAGCATGGATTGGTGGGGAAAGTTGACTGAACAAATTCGTAAGGCGGCCAATGATCACTGATTCACAAGAATGGTTAAGTCTCTGTTAATTATAATGTTTTTTTATACTCAAAAATCAAAATACAATTTAGGGAGATGGTTTTTTTTTTAGAAAACAAAATTGTATAGTTATCAACTTTCTATGTATTGGTCTTTAAGACTGAGTTTTTGACAAGTTTTGCTATTATCGTATCGATATAGTACTAGTATTTTCCTTAAAGAACATGTAAATAATGATTAAAATTAATTTGATCATCTACTCTCTTTTTCAGTTTTTCTATATGTCCAACGAGAAACGACAGATCAGCTGGGTCATTAATTACAGGTAGATAGTAGAATTTTGATGTCTTTTGTCGTAAGACGTAACAATATATTATTTTTATAACAGTTATGCGTTGTTAGTTGTGGGTAGGTTTCAACGAAAAGCAAGCACAATGGTAAAAAATGAAAATCGATTGTGATATATGAAGACTTAACTTTAAAAGCAACAAAACAAATTTATACTAAACTACTAGTTTATTTATGTCGACAAATAGAACCTTACATGAAAGACGAAAATAAAAATACATAATTTCGTTTTTTCTTTGGATTTTCTCTGGGGTAAATAAGCCTTTGCTGATTTCAAACACTCTGAGACAACACAATTCTCAGGTGAAAAAATATCCCTCGGTAAAAAAAGGGAAAAAAAATCAGCAAAAGAGCAAACTCCCCCACAAAAAATCCCATTTTAATAAGAAAAATAAAAACCTTATCTTAAATGAAAAAAAAAAAAAAAGGATTAAAGAAAGTGATTACGAAAGTGTTTCTTCAGGCCATTCAGTGATTCTTTCCAACGAGGGCCTCCACTTACGACATCTCCGACGAGACTCCTCCTCTTCCTCAGCCGCCTTTGCAGCCGCTTCTCCGGCAGATCTCTCCGCCTCTAACTCCCTGAGAAAGTCGCCAAAAGAAGCCAAAGTTGTTTCTCCTTTGCCGTCAACGTTGCCGTTGGCATTTAGCTGAAAAAGAATGAGTTTCTCTAACTCATCTCTTCTCAAAACAATCTTTACTTTACGATCTTTTCTCTTGTAATCTTTCTTCATTACCTCGTCTTCTTGAACCATTTTTGCAACGTTGTTTCCTCCCATCAAACAGTTTCCCATTTTTTATAAAATTTTAAAAGCAGATTTAATAAAAACAAAAAAAAAAGTTTCTTTTTTTGGAAATACCCACAAAAATAGTTAGAAGAAGAAAAAAGAAAACTTGGGAATAATGCCCAAGAAAAAAAATCTTTCTTCTTCTCTTTTTCTTTCTTTGTGGGTCAAAGTTGATGGAAGCTTGAAGAGTTGTATGAATCAATGTGTGATGTTGAGTTTATATATAATGTTGAGTATTTCTGTTTAATGATAGATGGATAACTAGCTCATAGTAAGGATGCTGATCTGTTGGATTTATATTTTTAAATTGTAAATCAGCGTTATTTTTATTGATTATAAATTAGACCAACCAAAAGTTTGTTATTTGGTTATGAAGATGCTAATTTCAATTGTTCATAAATCGAATTGATTCTTACATTTTTAATAGATAATGAAGTGAACCATATATATAAGAATGAAATGAAATTAAACTCTATGCAATTTCAAGAAAAGAAAAAGTGCAAACTTACTCCACTGCAAAACTTTGTTAAGAAACTGAATTTTTAACCGTAAAATCTAAACACATCCACAGCAATATGCTAATTAATTATATAGTCATAGTCTCATAGATGTCATGAATTAATGGTGATAGCGAGAGAACACAATATTAACAACATTAACGGCGATAGCTCAACTAATTAAGCTGACATTGATGCAAATTTGCAACATTTTTTACTGGTGACTATGAAATTGTTTAAGATTCTGTTTCAATTGATATGTAAGTTGTTATAATATATGTGATAGAAATTTACGTCGAAACTTTATCTTTGTCGTGTGTAACTTTAAAATAGTTTGGATGCATGGAATTGTTTTAAATGAAAAACAAATTGTCATCAGTTAATTAATCGGAATACATACATACTAGCCAAATCAAAACATAGAAGTTCAATCAAAATCCAATGTGATTACTACGTATGGATTGTTCACGCATGCTTTTTTTACTTTCTATCAAACCATGATTTCTATTAGCTTAAATCAAAAGCAAACAAAGTTCTGGAGCTACAAGAGCTCTGTTAGCAATACAATCCACCAAAACACTAGCTAAACGAGAAATGTAAACGGAAGATATATAAATCGCGAATTATTTAGAATAGCTAATGTCTTGTAAAACATCATGTAGAACATTGTGTGACTTCTCCATGGATATTCATATTATTGTTAAGTTTATACCATTTTCGTGTGTGACATACGGTTATAGAGTTGGATCTGACTTGAAAATCTCTAACATGCACGCATCCAAATTTCAATTTCGATCAACATACCGAAACGTACTGCATATTGAATAAGCATTTAGCTAATTACATACTGGGCATTGTACTTTTAATCCTCCAAACTGGTACTAATTTTTTTTTCGTTTTTTGTTTAATTTAAATTATTAGAATAGAAGAAGACATAATTAAGAACACAAGTTCATGTTCTCTCCGGTTAGTTGGTGTCTTTAAACCAAACCAAAACCGTGTTAAAACCTGGCAACTCACATTTATACCAACCACCCAACCTGTCTTGTTTATTTTTTTTTATAATCGTCGTTAGATTTAATGATCACAAACCAATATAAAACCCATCTACTCATTAAATAAGTGTTACATGATAATAGCTTGTGGTCGTAGCTAGATACATTCATATTCGTTTCCCTCAAGAACTCATATCATTTAATAGAATCCAATCATTCATAATATGATCTGTTTCAAACAATGTCAAACCCATTTCTTTTGAAATATTCTCTCCGGATTTTACGGACCGATGGAAAACCATATTAGTACAAGATCGATTTAAAATATATAACTAACCAAAATCGATTTTCTGAACTCAATCAAAACCACTAAACTAAAGCCATGTGAGCAATTTTCAAACACTCGTAGATCGGTGCTCAAATACAGTTGAAACCGTTGTGTCATCTGGTTATATCGTTTGCATAAGCGCGATTGTGATGTGTTACCACAATTATTGCATTAGTTCCTATCATAACATAAGAACACAAAAATAATTCATATTTTACATGTAGACGTAAATGTCATTAATAAGCGATCTTATCAGATGATCCTATCATTAAGCACTACGCGTTATATAATAATTGGATCGTTATCATTTATCAAATTCTTCTTATCGAAACGAAACTTCGTGGAAATTTACAAAAGGACAACACAAGTACGTGGTGGTGTCACGGGGGCTGTCGTTACTCTAAGGGGCCACGACTCACGAGCTTCCAACTTTGATCTATATTTTCTTAAAAACAACAATAACTCATGTCGACAAATACAAACACTAACTGACGTAGGGCAACAATTTTTTTTTTGTTCAGGCCTACAATAATATTTATGTCAATAGCCCGTTAACAAAAAAAATCTCATATCCTACTCTATGATGACCTCACATGTAAACTGAATTTGGTTTTACGAAGCCCAAAATCTAAATCTTAGTACTTTTTAGGAGGCCCAAACTATAATCGTGTTTCTTTTTTTTTTTTTGTGTTTGTACTTTGTACTAGCTCTTCTTTTAGCATGCTCTATAGAGCTTCTTAAAGGAGCTTCCGGAGTTACAAAGGTGTATGTTATACAATCTCCTTCATTCAACAAAAGAGCACATGAGATTGCGAAATGTGTAACTGTTGCTCTGTTTCTCGCTTCAATAATTTTTTTGGCGCTCTCTCTGTTTTTGTGAGTTGGTTTGACAATGGAGCATCGTTGGTTATAAAAAAGGACAGATAAAAGCTCTCCTTTTAGCATGCTCAAAGTATCTCCGAGTCCAATCCACATTAAGGTGACAAGTGTTTATTTATCTTCATTGGTTTGGTTATCTGACCCCTTGGTGATTTTACTTCTAAAATGGAATTACTTTTGTAATTCTAAATTCATATAAAATTAGTTGAAAAATAAAACCAAATAGTAGTTCTAGAACTAGTAGCTTATTATATATAAATAGTCAACTGTTTCATAAGCTACAAACTTCATACACTGAAGTAAAAAGTTGTTCGCATAACTTAGGAAACTAAAGACTGACAAGAGCAGAGGAACGAGAAACCTCCTCATTTCAAACCAACGAAACAACATATCTAAAGAAAGTTTACATGAGATGCCAAGAGAAAGATTTACTACCTTAAATCTCATAACTCCTCTCACTCCATCCTTTTGCGTTTGTTCTTCAGTTTTGAAAACATTTGCTCGATATCTGCAGCTGTTATCGCCTTTGACGGCCCAGCAGACTCCTACAAAAACAAAAAAGAATCAAGTCTTTTTAGATTGAGCGTTCCTGAGAATTGTAATCAAATTTCTTTCATAGATGGTGACAGTATATACCATTAAACCCTGGAGTTCGTCTTGAAAGTCTTTGATACCGTGAAGGAGCTCAACTTTGGATACGTGGTCGAGATTATTCAGAAGATCAAGTGCTTCTCCTTCTTGTTTCTCCAGTTTCTCTGTTCTTTTCTCCTTCGCCTTCTTCTCGTATTCTACAATCGTGTCCTCTGCATCAAGTAGATAGCTTACCCCTCTCTGCTTATACATCTCAAGGCATTTTTCACATTTGCATAGGATATTCCTCCAGTTTTTGGTCAAAAACAAAGGTTTCTTCTCAAACTCAGGACACAAGTTTAGATCAGTCCTAATAACGCAACCAGTTGCAGGAACGGGTCCACCAGAGTCATCGATCTTCTCAGAACATTTTCGCACAACGAATTTCTCGGCTTCAGTACTGTTCTCAGGCTGGCCGGCTTCAGATTCATCGATCTTCTCAGAACATTTCCGCACAACAGATTTCTCGGCTTCAGTGCCGTTCTCAGGCTGGCCGGGTTCAGAGTCATCGATCTTCTCAGAACATTTTCCTACAACAGATTTCTCAGCATCAGAACCATTCTCTGGCTGGCAGGGTTCAGAATCCATGTGGGTTTTGCTTGACTCAATTGTCTCTGAACAAGCATTAGCAGAACCAGTGGACTCTACTTTAGCAACAACCCACAATTTCTCAGGATAAAGTGTCAGAAACGAACAAACTGGGGAACAGTTTTGACAAATGAAATCCTCATAGATCGGTTCGCCTTCCTCATCCTTTGGGATCTGTTAACATCACATAAGAAATTGAACTAGAATGTCAACAACAACAACAAAAAATTAATGGTACACAAGATTAAGCGCTGGCCACAAACCTGGCTACCAACACTGTCTGAAGGTTTGAGACCGAGATGCTCCTCATGAAACCAATCCTCACAGAGACAACACTGAATCATCTCCACTTGCTCTTCCACATTTGGGTCAGGGTACGGTCGGTCGCAAGTGCAGTAGAAGCCTTTGAAATTATGGTTGTAAGAATTCTCAGAGTTTTCTACATCTTTGCTCGGGAGAAGCTTACACGCCAAAGTTCCAAACTTTGAGTTCCCACAATCACATCGAAAATTTCTCTTAGTCCACAGCTCCAAGAGCTTCATAACCAGAACAATGTTCAACCATTAGGAATCCAATTAACACAATGAAGTCAGATTAAAAGATCAACCATATATACCTCATGGCCATCATGACAAGATAAGCAACAAGCAGTGCAAATTCCAGCATTCCCATCTGGTGTACATGTAATGCATGAGAAAATAGCTTGTCTTTTCATGTAACCCTTAGGGTAAGTACACTCATCTCCCTCATCTCCACCCAACACCAAATCCGCTGCCTTCACACCAAGAATCACAAAAGCAGTTAATGAATATTATTAAACCGCTAAACCCAAAAACCATATGATTACAGAAACAGATACACACTACTGAACTATTTCAACAATAACTATCCAACACAATCTATTGGCTTCAAAAACCCCAAATCAGGAACCTATATCACAAACCTAAGGAGTTAAAATGGGGAAAAGTATTAAACTTTGGTAAGAATCAGAAACATACATAAGCTTTAAAATGGATCTGATAGAGAAAGAGAATCATTTACCAGCTCTTCTGCGTCAAGGCTTTCGATATATTCATTGATAGTTACAGTTCCCTCAGCTTCATCCTCGAAATCACCCGATGCCATTTTCACAAATTCTCACCTGAAATCACCACTAAAATTCATGAAATTGGATCAAAGTAAAGCTATTTTGACAAGACTCAAACGAGATATTCCCTAAATTCCTGAGAGAAAAAAAACCCTAGATTCTTCGCTAAACAATGAAAAAAGAAAGTAATGTTAATCGGAAAATACCCAGTTACTGATAGACTTGTAGAAGCCCTAAAGGTTCTTCACTTATCACGACATAGAAAAACGAAAGCGGAGGGAGAAGAAATTGGGGAAAATGAAGGTGAAGAAGCTAATAAGCACAAGGGTTTGTGAATAAGAAGGATCTAGCGGATGTTATAACGAGAAAATTATGTATCTTATATATAAAGGCAGGGACTTTATCGACATTTTCCCGCCAATAACCCTCCAATTCTATGAACTTCTATTCCTCTTTTCCCTCCACTACATTAACTAAGTAAGTATCAGCTAATTTTGGTATACTTTCTGCTACTTGATATTGTACTTGTAGTATAAAGTTTGTTAAAATAGGATATGGCAATCTCAAATTCTTGCTAATTTGTGATATATGTGAAGATTATTTGT